GTGAAGAGAAGACACAAAATCCCCGCGATAAATAACTCAACCGCTGGGTTACGTCTGACCCTGGATCTGAGTAACACAAAAACTACCCAAACATTGGGTTGTTATGTCTGACCCAGGAGCTACAAATCAACCCAAACACTGGGTTGTTACATTTGACCCAGGAGCTGGGTTACACAAAAACTACCCAAACACTGAAAAAATAACCCAAAAAAATGACATTTGAGCATTTGGGTTAGAAAAATAACCCAGGATTTTTTAGAGTGTATGAGAGTCCAAACAAGAGACAAACTGCAAGAGGCAGGTCCCTGACATAATTCACTACGATAGCTCCCTCTATGATGATAGCTGTGGAGACTGGATCTACAGGGAGCAATGAAGAGCAGTGAGGAGACTCTTCGTTGAGGACTGTCAGAATGCCAACAGGAATGTGCTCAAAGTTGTTTTCATCTGAGTCCTGAAAAGACATAAAAAAAAATAAAAAATGGAAGCAATTATATGCATATATTACAAAATCACAACTTGTAGACATTAGGCAGGGCTGTATGCTAACTTTTTTTGAAGCAGTGGTGCTACACGGTGAGCTTGATTTGACCAAGTACAACATGTTCCTGGATCAACATCCTTGTTGATCCTGGAACATCATTCCAATCAACCAATCAGAACTGAGAGAGAACTTTTCAGGAAATGTCAGTTTTAGGCTTACAATCAGGATTAGGATCAACCCTTGTTAATCAGCTATCATGTCCCACTGATTTTAGGAATAAATTATGGGTAAGGTTAGGTTTAGGGGTGGGGATTGGGTTAAGTCTGTATTTTTGGACAGTAATGTTGATCCAGGATCAACAAAAGATGTTGATCCAGGAACATGTCTTACTTGGCAAAATCACTGTGACCGTGCTACACAGAGGTTGAAAGTTTTGTAGCACAGGTCACACAAGTATATCGGATATGTTACATCTCTGAAAATATCCACAATAATGCAGTTATTAAACAGGCACGCAAATGGCAAAAGACATTAATGTTCCATACAAGGCACACAAAATACAAACCTAAACAAGAAGTGTTTTCAGACAAACATTTTCTTAGTTTGCCCAAAATGGAAGAGTGCAGGAACGTAACACCTATTGCTTAACATTCTTAATATTGTTTATATAGCCCAATATCTCAAATCACAATCCAGATATCCATTTCAAATTAAACCTCACAATTATATTTTTTTAAATTTAATTTGAATTTTTTAAACACAAACTCATAAGCTCATTTGCCATAATTATTTTCACGTTTAGCTTATAAATGATCAAATTAGCGTTATAACAAATTGTAGCACTTTTATTGTACTGACTTATGATGTATAGCATGTGCCAGAAAATTCACAAAGTCTCATGCAATTTAGATGAAGGATTTAAATATTCATCATCATTTTTTACAGCTATACTTACAAAGCAGACCTTGAAAAATTCTGAGGGGTTGTCCCCAAGAAGGACAGGGATGCCACGGAGAACCGCAGTGCGTCAAAGTGTACCCTCATTTCCTGAAAAAAGAGAGGGTTTTATGAAATCATGATATTCCATGTTATTCTGTTTCTTACCACAATCACGTAAGGTTAGGTTTAGGGGTGGGGATTGGGTTAAGTCTGTATTTTTGGACAGTAATGTTGATCCAGGATCAACAAAAGATGTTGATCCAGGAACATGTCTTACTTGGCAAAATCACGGTGACTGTGCTACACAGAGGTTGAAAGTTTTGTAGCACAGGTCACACAAGTATATCGGATATGTTACATCTCTGAAAATATCCACAATAATGCAGTTATTAAACAGGCACGCAAATGGCAAAAGACATTAATGTTCCATACAAGGCACACAAAATACAAACCTAAACAAGAAGTGTTTTCAGACAAACATTTTCTTAGTTTGCCCAAAATGGAAGAGTGCAGGAACGTAACACCTATTGCTTAACATTCTTAATATTGTTTATATAGCCCAATATCTCAAATCACAATCCAGACATCCATTTAAAATTAAACCTCACAATTATATTTTTTTAAATTTAATTTGAATTTTTTAAACACAAACTCATAAGCTCATTTGCCATAATTATTTTCACGTTTAGCTTATAAATGATCAAATTAGCGTTATAACAAATTGTAGCACTTTTATTGTACTGACTTATGATGTATAGCATGTGCCAGAAAATTCACAAAGTCTCATGCAATTTAGATGAAGGATTTAAATATTCATCATCATTTTTTACAGCTATACTTACAAAGCAGACCTTGAAAAATTCTGAGGGGTTGTCCCCAAGAAGGACAGGGATGCCACGGAGAACCGCAGTGCGTCAAAGTGTACCCTCAGTTTCCTGAAAAAAGAGAGGGTTTTATGAAATGATATTCCATGTTATTCTGTTTCTTACCACAATCACTTTTTCCCCTTGTGCAGACCTATGAGCTCATCAACATGTAAAGGAGCTATGTCCATGGTGTTTTCCATGATTTTTCAGTCTGAAGAACATTGGACACATTTTCAAGTATCTAAAAAGCATAAGTCCTTTTCAGTCTTGCTGATAAAACAAACAATGCATTCAAAAAATTCCACAAGGAGCCCAAGCCCAATGCAGCTGCAACTCTCATCTAATACATCATAAGGGCATTCAGCAGAATGTCAGAGCAATATTTACCACATCTCTTTAATAAACTCTTAAAATGTGTCTGCCTCAATATCTGATCAGTTATCTTTTTTTTTTCTTCTTTTTTTCCTCAAGGATGACTGTTTAGGCACTGATGTATTTTATGTTGAGCTAGTGTTCACCACAGAGCTTTCAGGCATTTAACCAAAAACCCACTGTAAAAAACCCACTGATTTTACATAAATGTAACCGGAAGTGCTAAAGTGCTAAATTGTTTCCTGGTTTTGGCCTACAAAATATGTCATCCCTGCAGCATTCTCTTGGTATACATGTAACCGGAAGTGCTAAAGTGCTAAATTGTTTCCTGGTTTTGGACTACAAAATATGTCATCCCTGCAGCATTCTCTTGGTATACTACTTTACTTTCATGAGTGTTTGCAGGACTGTTAGGAGAGGTGGAGGTGTAGCTGCTCTATTTAAAGATGTCTATCAATGCAAGCAAGTATCATTTGGTCAGTACTTGTCTTTTGAATATCTAGGGATTGTGTTGAAAGGTGCTCCACGCATTCTGTTTATTATTATTTACAGGCCTCCAAAATACTCTCCAGACTTTGTTGACGAGTTCACAGAAATGCTATCAATGATTTCCTCAGAGTTTGACTGTTTTGCTATTGCAGGGGATTTATAATATAATATTCACATAGATAATGCAGAAAACAAAACTACAAAAGAAATTATAACTGTTTTAAACACTTTTGACCTGATTCAGCATGTGCATGAACCCACACACAATCGTGGACATACTCTAGATTTAATCATCAGTAGAGGTCTAAACATTTCATCCATTGTTATTAAGGACGTAGCACTATCTGATCACTTCTGTATTTTCTTTAATATATTGATCTCTGTTACCACTGAATCTAGATCTGTCTCTGTCAGAAAGAGATGCATTAACGAAAACACTAGTGTGCTATTTATGGAGGCTATATCTTTAACACCAAGCATTTCTGCAGACTCTGTTGATCTTCTCCTTGATTCCTTTAACTCAAAAGTTAAGAATGTTATTGATGACATTGCTCCTGTGAAAGTCAGCCTTAAATCAATTGTTTTAATCATTTTCAATGTTTTTAAATTCCTTGTTTTATTGTTGTGATTTTTTTTTTTTCCTTTCTTTTAGGTAAAGCACTTTGAATTACCATTGTGTATGAAATGTGCTATACAAATAAACTTGCCTTGCCTTGCCTTGCCTTACTTATTTAACTGTACCCAAGAGATTGCTTCATGTAAAGATGCAAACATGCAAATATAGTTAAACTCATCTCACGAAGTCTAGTTCAGGACATTTTTAGTTGTGCATCAGTTAATCAAATAATTTATTACAATTAACGTTTTGCCCAATGCAGTTTTGACAGCTAGGCACTGCTAAATATAGCCTACAATTTAACAGTCATCCTTGAGGTTTAAAGTTTTTCTTCAAGAAAACCGTTTCTGCATCCTTATGTAAAGTGTGAGTCTAGGCATTATGCCAAAGGATGGGTGTTTGAGGAAAGGTGGAGGACATTAGATGATGTTTGGCGTTTTCTTGTGGTACAAATTTGTTTTTTATCACATTTTTAAACGGACTCTTTCTTTAAATTTGAGACTTTTATTTTGAAAATGCAACTCTTACTATGAAATCCTATGCATGTATAATCTCTACTAGTTCCCGTTGGCGGGATTAAACAGATTGGCTATCAATAAAAGTCATGCAGATCAGCATGTACCCCCTCTTCAAAAATGCCATAGAGCAATGCATTTATTTCATCAGATCGATAGTTATGTGTAATATATTTTAAAACCACTGATCGTAAAAGTCGTATCATTGGAATGTTAAAGGAAGATGATGAGGACTTTGAGGAAGAAGATGAGGAAGATTGTAGATCTGCAAAAAGAGGGAACATTTCAGCTGTCCTTTCTGCCATCTCCAGTGTTGTGTCTGGTGAGTTTTTAAATACACAATAACTAACAGATTTAAGAAATATTCTGTATGTTGAGACAGTAGTAGCAGTTGTAGGATACTAGTGCACTTTCAAACACTGCCATACTTGTTTGCAATAAAACAATATGATAGACAAAAAAAAAACAAAAAAAAAAACTGAAATGTGCTGTAAAGTAAATAACGTAAACTTAAAGGGGTCATATGATGCAATTTAAATTTTTCCTTTCTCTTTGGAGTGTTACAAGCTCTTGGTGCATAAAGAAGATCTGTAAAGTTGCAAAGACTAAAGTCTCAAATCCAAAGAGATATTCTTTATAAAAGTTAAGA